GGTCAACTGCTCGACCAGTTGCTATGATGTGCACTGACCATCAGGGGGCAGACGCTCCAACTGGTAGGTTAGCTTGCTGCTGGGGCCCGGCCTATCGGGATTGGGCGAGATGGGCCGGACATGCCCTGAAGCCCTCCCGCGGTCCCTCCCTGGCCAGCCAACCTACCACGGTCCCTCCTGGGCTGGATTGTGAGAGGGCGCAGGCCAGGCCGAGGGCCCCCACCAGTGCACAAATCTGTGCACCTGTCCTCTAGTAAGATATGACATGGTAAATAAATGCCAGGAGAGAGAGACAAAGTACAAGAGGAATCACTTGATATGGTAGAAGATTTAATGACCATAGGTTCTGATTCTTGCCTGAAAACACTATGGCTTACCAGAATTTCCTGCAGAGAGAATAAGGATGAAGAGTGCTAATGGCCCTATCTGGGAGTGACAAGGTTCCAAGAAGGAATTAGGAGTTAGTTCAAATGATAAATCAACCTTGTCTACATTCTCCTTAGTTATGGAAAGAGCCCTCAGGAAACATGAGACAAATTTTACTTAATACTTTAAGTGGAAAAAACATGGGCATTAGATGGAGATCTCAGCAGTACCACATCCAAGTTATCTGAGTTTAGACAAGTTTATGGACTTTTGTGAGCCACATTGTCCTCATTTTAAAGAGAGTATGGGTATAGGCAATGGTACCTACCCTACAGATGGTTGTGAGATAATACATGTAAGACACCCACGTGGTGTCTGGTTATGTGGCTAATTAGTTTCTTCTCCTTTCCTTTAGGACATACAGGAGAGAAGATTGAGTGAAGTGAAAGTATTATTAGGAATTTGAAAGATAGAAAATACAGTAGCAAAACTTGGGGAACCAAAAAGAGTATTACAATCAGTAAATTCCTCTAGTGGAGAGTATTTTTTTTTTTTTGGTAGTCCTAACAAAGCATATAAAAATTGCTCAGGCCCTGGCCGGTTTGGCTCAATGGATAGATCGTCGGCCTGTGGACGCAAGGGTCCTAGGTTCGATTCCGGTCAAGAGCATATACCTTGGTTGCGGGCACATCCCCGGTGGGGAGTGTGCAGGAGGCAGCTGATCGATGTTTCTCTCTCATCGATGTTTCTGGCTCTCTGTCCCTCTCCCTTCCTCTGTAAAAAATCAATAAAATATATTTTTTAAAAAATTGTTCAGTAAATGTTTGTTCAGTGAATAAATAAGTAGTATTTTAGGAAACTCTCAGTTCTTTCCTTAAAACTTTAAAAATTAAAATAATATGCTTTCTGTTCCTGACCCAAAACAATGTGTTCTGATGCAATTAAACAGTCAAAATACCTGAAATAAACACACCTTTTTTTTTTTCAGCTTGAAAACAAGGAACTTCGGGAATTATTGTCCATCAGCAGTGAGTCGCTTCAGGTCAGAAAGGAAAACTCAATGGACACTACTTCCGAAGCCATCAAATAACTTCAGCTTCCGAACGACAGCTGGAGATGGTTTATCAAGGAAGGAAGTTACTGTCTTTCTACTTGAGTATTGTCCTTTCAGTGTCTTGCCTCGGACTTGATTTAATAATGTTGATTAAAGGAATCGGATGGCAGTTTAGAATTGGCAGTCAAAATTGGCTGTCCACAAAACAGTTTTGGGGTGTGTTCGTGAAAATACACACTGAATTTCACCATTCCTTTCTCTAAGAGACTACTTTTAATTTTCATATCTGGGACCTTGATTTATATAAACTATGTTTTTGGTTCATTTTTGTTTTTTTCACATCTCTGAAACTTTGAGCATTGTATCAAAAGGCAGCGATTTTATTTTATATAGGATTATAAATGGCAATTATGAAAAAAGTTAAAAAGAGATGAGCTTTTTAAATCTATTTGGCATAAATCTGGATTATTTCCCATTTGAGAAAAATACAATAATTCCACAGAACTAGATTGGCAAATTTCTGCTTTGTAATGTCATTCACATTCTATGAAGTTTTAAGTCTCTCTGGTGCTAAGAGTTGGCACTTCATGGCCTTGTGTCTTCACTCTTAATTTGAGAGAACCTACTGCTAGTCTCCAGGAAACATACTTGAAAATAAGTCAACTTTTTTTCCAGTAGTAATATAGTCATTGTGTGTTCAAAGAATGCTGAGAAATTTGTCCTGTGTATGTGGATACACACATGCACACTTAGCTCAAATGCTAAAAGTTGCTTTCAGTTATTCCATTAGATATTAGTAATCAATTTTTCATTTTTTTCCTCCTACAGTAGTTTACCTAGTGCCGTGGTCGGCAAACCATGGCTCGCGAGCCACATGCGCTCTTTGGCCCCTTGAGTGTGGCTCTGCCACAAAATACCACGTGTGGGCACGCACGTACAGTGCGATTGAAACTTCGTGGCCCATGTGCAGAAGTCGGTATTTTGTGGATGCGCCGGTATCTTGTGGAAGAGCCACACTCAAGGGGCCAAAGAGCCGCATGTGGCTCGCGAGCCGCAGCTTGCCGACCACTGACCTAGTGTGAAGAGCATATAATAGGTTTATTCACATCATAGTTCTTAGGTACTACATTCTACTGTTTATATATAACTTATCTTTTAAGAACTATCATTTACTTGGATATCTTTCATTATTAGTACCAATAGTTGACTTCTTTTTAGATCCATTTCCACAAGGAAACAGTTTCATCACCTAACAATAGTTATTACATTCACATGTCTTTTAGACAACCAAGCAATGTTGAGATTCAAATGCTGAGTAGTCAACTAGGCTCATTCATCAATTCATCCCCCCATCTCAGTTTACTCACATTACTTCATGTTATACTATCAATTTAGGTTTATCCCCAAATAACTGAAATAAATGCTAAACCTGTCAATATTTTCTAATAACATTAAGCATCATAGTGCATCGGAAAGGCACAGTATTAAAAAATGTTTTATGTTAATGTTTTGTGTGATGTAAAATTTCTTTTGTACTGCCATAAAAAATGAAATCCTGTTAAAACAAAATCTAAGATATCCTAAAAGCATCTGATCCCAGTAATGCTAATGGACTTTGCCTGCAACAGTAGGCTTTGATGAATAGGTATATATTCTTTTAGAATTCATCAAGTTTCTATTCAAAGTCCTGCATAGAATTTGAAAAGTGCTCTGCCCCAAGTGTAGGCATTTTTATCCCACTTCCCAAGAGTAAGTAATCTTTTAACCCAGCCATTTGCCTTGAAGTATATGCCCTAAGTGCCACCGTATGTCCTACAATTCCAATTCAAGAGGTAGGTACCCTATACTATTTGTCAGCTGCCATGGTCAGTTTTCAGTGAACATGGTAATCAAATGGCACATTAAGGTATAACATGGTGTCCCCTTATTTGTCTTATGTGCTTTTAAGTTATTTTACAGTTCTTTACATCTCGGATATCAGGATACATCCACGTGTTAACTTTTCTCCCTGGCAAATCAAAAGCTTGAAGTATGAGTCTAAAGAGTTCATTACTTCACATGATAAAATTCTGGCTGGTGTTAATGCTTTGAAAATAATCTGTACTTAACAAAGTGAAAGAATGTTTTTTCACTTTGATTTGAGTGACTATTAATGTTTCTTTTGCAGTGGATGGAGGGATTTGACTGGTTTGCAAAGCCTAAGTACAAACTTATCTTTTCTAAAGAAAACCAAAAAACTAATTTAGATAACGTCAGCTAATTTTACTCAGTAATGCGTCTAATTATTAGGAAGTGCAAAGGTTTATTTTTCACATGCATAGCAACCTGTTAAGTAGACAAGGTTTTCATAAATATTTTGTAATTAGCACAATGTAGTCTACAAGGCTCTGGACCCTCTGGAATCTCAGGTGGTTGACAAAATTCATTTCCTTATAGAATAGAACTTATATAGGCCTTCAAGGCCAATAGGAGGTCATCTCTCTGACTTCCCTTATCTCCCACCTCCAGATTCCCTTTTAAGAGCTCACCAGACTAGGTGAGGCCCAACCACAATAATCTCCCTCTGATTAATCTGATTAGGTATCTTTAAAAAAAAAAAAAACTTCTTGTTGAAAGTATTAACATTTGTCCCCTTTCATTCCCCATTGGCCCCTTCTAGCCTGGCCCCGCCTCCTACCCCTCGCCCCAGGCCTTCACCACACTTTTGTCTGTGTCCTTGGGTTATGCATATTTGCATACAAGTTCTTTGGTTGCTGTCTTCCCACCCACCTTCCCTGCGATTAGAGATCTTAAATACATTTGC